GCGTCTTCGCAAGCTGCGAGTATCCGTTGAAAGAGACCGGACCCACGAAGGTGGAGCAGCTAACAGTAACAGTGTCGGATCATTCCGATGTCGTGTCACCCCTCATCGGGATGCCGACATACTTTCGGGCCGGTCGTTTCGGTGTCACTATCCCGTTCCCAAGACTAGTTAGTACGGGGCCATAGACGCTCTCGTCGCGAGAAGTTTCCTCCCGCCGTAAGTGTGTACAGGTAGCTGGCAACTATACAGGCGTCGTTGCATTGTGAACTTCACGTACGAGGTAAGCGCATCGGCGATATCTTTACACCCTCGTCTCACCCGACGATGCCCGGGCCCCTTGGATTTTCATTTTCGCACTCTACCCCTGTATGCATACAGAGCCGGCTGGGAGTGACAAGGGTTGGCGGATGTGACTCGTCACTAGTGAGATAAAGCCCGAACTTGAGCCCAGCAATGGAGGAAGAGATCCTTTACAGAGGCGACCGACTGGGCTTGCAAGATGCAATCCATGTTGGCAAAGCATCGCGCGCTATCCGCCTGGTGCCGTATTCGGCGATGAACAGCACTGCAAGGTACAAGACACCTCCCTTGGCCTACTGTTGCCGATCGGCTATAAATGGACACGTGCTTACCGGAGGTTAGAGAACCTTAGAGTCTCAAGGGATTCCATTATTCGTACACTCAGTCAATAGAGTGAAATCAGTTCACGAGCTTGACGACCACCAAGCGGATGGCCAACGTTTGACAGCAGACGTTGTATTAAACGATATTGACATAAGTGGGCACCAGAGATTCTGCTTCGTATCTGCACGAAGCCTCTGGGAGCCTGGCTTGCCAGGGTGGCCCAGACTGTCGGGTCCTGGGTACGTGGCTGAGATTATGTGGTGGCAAGTCTGCGATTATTCTACGATTCGGCGGGTGTCCCGTCAGCCGGCCGTCATTGAAAATGGCAAGTCCAATCCTGTAATAAGGACAGATACTTTTGCTCGGCGAAGGACATCGTCGAGGTAACGTGTCATGCGCAAGGAAGGCACAGCATTGATACGGGTGTTATCGGCCTCCCGTGGATAGGGTATGTGAGAAGCCGAGATGTTCTAGGCATCTGGAGTGGTCCGAAATGTGCAAGGCGTAAGATGCAAAGGGTGAGCTGGTATCGTCATGGTGGTAGCGGCAGCTCAGTTGCCAGGATGATTGCCCGCAATAGGTGCGAGTCGAGTAACGACGGGACGATGATGGCGTGCCGGAAACAGGGTAGTTTGGCCGTGGCTGGAAAACAACTCCTCATGCCGTGATGGTGCTGCAATAGAGAGCTGCATTTTGGGGCCAAACGTCGTGGGAAGAAGGCCAGACTCTCGAACTCTGGAGCAACGCGGGATTAGGAAAAAGCTGTGATTACCTATCTCTGTCCAAATGCAAGCTGAGCGCGCGACGGATCATTCTCGGCTTATCTTCAACAATATGATTGATTCATCGGTCAATCCTTGGCCGGGGTTGGGGCTGATTTCAGGTGGTGACAGTCTGCGTTGAAGTGTGTGACGGTTCAAGGTTGATAATGAATTGGGGAACCTGGTACACCGTACGGTATCAGCCAATAATTGTTGGAGAATGGACATCAGCCACATGCCTCCAGGGGCAAGCCACGGTTGCCTTGCCAAACCAAAACCACTTTACGCGTCCCACCTTGGGGCGCGTCGCCTCGCGTTTTTGGATGGCATTTGGTCCCCTCCTTTTTTTCCTTGTCACTCACACTCTCTGCGGCCGATTACATTTCTCCTCCCCCCCTCGACACTCCAGTATTGACGCTTCTGCACCCTCCCTTGTACCTCATGTTGTCAATTACTTTTGCAAACCTACGCCTTTGATACCCTTTTCTCCCAGTTCAACCAAGTCTCGACTCTGACGACAATTACCGCCATGGATTCCTTCATGCTGCAAGATGCAGCCGCCTTGGACCGCGTGCGCGCAGCCCAGGAGTTCCTCGATCCCCGTACGTCTGCTCTCGCATCACCGTAGGGGTCTTTGCGCCTCTGAATGTTGCACACTAACCTGGTGTAACCACAGAAAATGACTCTCAAGGACGCAGTTACAGATCAGCTATCATCTTGATGTTGCAAAAGCAGCAGAGAAGACTGGTCGTCAACCTCGACCAACTACGTGCCCATAATGCCGAGCTTGCCTCCGGAATTCTTCAAGACCCATTCGACTATAGTCTTGCCTTCAATCATGCCCTGAAACAAATCGTCAAAACACTGCCCCAGTCCGGCGATGCGGAAAAGTTGAACGAGATCTCCTACTACTGCGCATGGGCTGGTAGCTTTGGCATGAATGCCTGCAACCCTCGCACGCTATCCTCTCAGCACCTAAACAGCATGGTGTCCCTCGAAGGCATCGTGACGAGATGCTCGCTGATCCGACCCAAGGTTGTCAAGAGTGTGCATTACAATGAGAATAAGGATGTTTTTCACTTCAGGGAGTACCAAGACCAGACCATGACCAACGGAGTCACCACATCGAGCGCCTACCCGCAGGAGGACGACGAAGGCAACCCGCTTACTACCGAGTACGGCTTCAGCACGTATAGAGATCACCAGACCGTTTCTATTCAGGAGATGCCCGAGCGTGCCCCGGCCGGTCAGCTGCCCCGTGGCGTGGATGTGATTCTCGACGACGACCTCGTCGATAAGGTCAAGCCTGGCGACCGCGTGCAACTCGTCGGTATCTACAGAACTCTCGGAAACAGAAACACAAATCATAACAGCGCCTTGTTCAAGACTGTCATTATCGCCAACCACATTCTTCTCCTGTCATCGAAATCGGGCGGTGGTGTCGCCACTGCCACTATAACCGACACGGATATTCGAAACATCAACAAAGTAGCAAAGAAGAAGAATCTTCTCGACCTTCTTTCCCAGTCACTCGCGCCCAGTATTTATGGCCACGCATACATCAAGAAGGCAATTCTTCTGATGCTGCTCGGTGGCATGGAGAAGAACTTGGAGAATGGCACCCATTTGAGAGGTGACATCAATATCCTTATGGTGGGAGATCCCTCTACAGCCAAGTCCCAGCTCCTTCGATTCGTGCTCAACACGGCGCCACTAGCAATTGCTACCACCGGTCGAGGTTCATCGGGTGTCGGTCTGACAGCCGCAGTAACTTCGGACAAGGAGACGGGTGAACGGAGACTAGAAGCCGGAGCTATGGTCATGGCTGATCGTGGCGTGGTATGCATTGACGAGTTCGACAAAATGTCCGACATTGACCGTGTTGCAATTCACGAAGTCATGGAACAGCAAACCGTCACGATTGCCAAGGCTGGAATCCACACTTCGCTCAACGCCAGGTGCAGCGTTGTTGCAGCTGCTAACCCCATTTTTGGCCAATACGACACCCATAAGGACCCTCACAAGAACATCGCCCTACCAGACTCCCTCCTGTCTCGTTTCGATCTGTTATTCGTCGTTACCGATGATATCGAGGATACCCGGGACCGGCAGGTGTCGGAGCACGTTCTGCGCATGCACCGTTACCGTCAACCCGGGACAGAAGAGGGTGCGCCGGTGCGTGAGAACGCCGGCCAAGCCCTCGGCGTTGCCATCAATAATCAAGCCGATACCCAACGCCCGACCGATGTGTACGAGAAGTTCGATGCGATGCTACACGCTGGTGTCACTCTTACCACTGGACGCGGCGCGAACAAAAAGCCTGAGGTGCTCAGCATTCCTTTCATGAAGAAATACATCCAATATGCCAAGACCAGAATTCGGCCTGTCTTGACTCAGGCCGCATCGGATCGCATTTCTGACATTTATGTTGGCCTCAGAAACGATGAAATGGAGGGTAACCAGCGCAGAACCAGTCCTCTGACCGTCCGTACTTTGGAAACTCTGATTCGTTTGGCAACCGCCCACGCCAAGTCCCGACTATCTAATCGAGTAGACGAGCGCGATGCCCTTGCGGCCGAAGCAATTCTCCGTTTTGCTCTGTTCAAGGAGGTGGTCGAGGACGAGTCGAGAAAGAAACGTAGGAAAACCCAGACTACCGAGTTTGCGTCATCAAGCGAGGAAAGCTCATCCGATGATGATGGCGATGATGGAAACTTCAAGAAGACGACAACATGGACACCCGTCCCGAGATCCTCGCGATCGACACGAGGCGTGGCCCGGCCTCGGCGAGCCGCTGCTGGTGCCAGCAGCGCCAACGAAGATGCCCCTGAAAGCGACGCGGATACCCCTGCTGAGCCTGATGTAGTGGAAGACGCAGGAGAGGATATCTACGAGGCGACGCCACGGAGATCCCGTCGCCGCGGTGATGGCACGGCCCCTTCAAGTGCGGCACCCCAAACGCAAACATCGTTTGCTTCATCCATGCCTGCTTCTCAGCTGCCTTCTCAATCGCAAGACACTGGCGAGGATGATGACGAGCTGGCATCGGGAGCAGCTGGCCTCGCCATTGTTGATGAGCCCATCAGCCCCCAGCGGCTGACTGTCTTCAGAAGCGCCCTTGGCCAGCTACTCAACTCAGCCCTGTTCGACGACGACTCTGCCAATGTCAATGCTGTTCTTGAAGCCGTGAACACTAAGTTGCAGTCACGTAGCGGTAGTGCCTTCAGCAAGGAGGAGGCCGTCAAAGCTCTTAAGAAAATGGATGAAGCCAACCAGATTATGTAAGTTCCCCCACCTGATTTCTCGTCTTCGGTTCTTACATGACTAACCGAGAAATAGGTACACCGATGGAGAGCTTGTCTACAAGATTTAAGGTCCGGTGGCATGATGTGGGATTGTTTGTGATATGACATCTGGCGTTGGTGTTATGACGGGAAGGCGTCGTCCCTAAGAGACCTTGCCATGTAACGAATGGAAAATCCATCTGTCGTAGTTCTTGCGCAGTGGTCCGTAAGGTGTCAGATCTAACGAGTCGCACTTGACGTAAATCTTTTGTCATTATTCGTCTACCTGGTTCTATGTTTATCACCACAGATGTAGCATTTTCCGTGGACTTTACTGCGTTGTTTGGAGACGGACTCGGAACTCCGCAACCCGGTCCTCTACCCTCTCGCCGTTCCATGTCTCCTCGCCGTCCTCATTTCTGGCTAAGGTTGGTACGCCAACTTGCTCAATAGCGAAGCTGGCAGCTACACTGCCCCATACTGCAGCTTCCTCGACGCACTTACCCCTTGCAAGAGCAACAGCGAGCCCGCCCAGAAAGGTATTGCCGCCACCTGTTGGATCTACCACTCTCGCGCTGTCTTGATGAACGGCCGGGATCCACTGTTCGGTACCAGAATCTACCTCGATCTCCTCGCGAATAACAGCACCTTCGTCATCTTGGAGTAGACCGGCGAAGAGTGCTTCCATGTCGGTGTCCGGCTGAAGGCCGCCCCTCGTATAATCCTTCTTGCGACGCTTTGAGCCTGCCCCGTCGCCAGTAGCGGGATGGCGTTTGCGGCCGCCGTTGCGAGCAACGTAGCAGCCCTTTTCCCCGGCGCGGACAACGAGCGTGAAAGACGATAAAGGCATGCTTGCGAGAAGTTGCTCGCAGGATCTCTCTACCGCCGCTTTCGAAATCTCTCCTGTTTTTGGGTCCAAGCCGTCGTCACCCATGAAACCCGCCAGCTCCGAGTGATTTGGACTGAGGATGTCAATTAAGGGAAGGCAATTTGTACAGTTGAGAAGTTCATCCGGTGTGCACAGGTCAGGTACGGGTTCCCAGATGAATATTGGTTTTATGTACGAATCGGGCGGGCACACGCGTTTGCGGGCTGAGGTGATTTCGGTTACCAAGTCTCTGCACCTGGCCGGAGAGCAGATTAAGTGAAAGGTCTTGGAAAGTAACAGATGAGGCGTCAGGTCCTCTGCAGTGAGACGCTTCTTAGGGGTGGTGTACTTGAAGGCGCGCTTCTCTGCGTTCTCGTATCCGTTCCATCCGCGAGTGGTTAGCCGCTCTGGGTCCTCGCGGAACACGACTGATGTCTCCCAGCTGTTGATGAGTTCAGTCAAGGATTGCGGAAAGTCGGAACCCTTGTCGACGATCCAACCGACCGATGAGGCATCCGGGGCTGGCGAGAAGAGACGGGCTCCGAGGGCACCGTATGAGCCGGCACCGCCGAGAATATCATAGACGGACGGCGTAGGTGGCAAGAAGTGTATCTCGTCTAGTAACTGTCAGCTGGGAATCATGCAGTGAGGGTGCACAGCGGGCTGATGTTGAATTCGTAGAGACGGGACATCAGTGCAGAGGGGTTTCTGACTCACCTATGATGAACATCCCTAACGTCACAAAGTCAATGGCAGGTAATGCCTTGAATTCTTCGTCAGTGAGAAGCTGCTCCTTCGGCGACTGTGACTCTTCTTCGGCCATGGTCAAAGGTTTCCAGTGAAAAGGATTATTGCAATGACGGATCAATGTCAGATACGCAATGAGTGGCGTAAAGATTCAGACTGTACGGAGTATCAAATGAGATATATTCCGTTGGCGGAAATGCTGTGCTCCGTGACAGTGGCCACTATTGTGAGAAGGTAACAATTAGACACCTGAGTAGTATCTTTGCAACCAGCCGAAATGCCGTAGTAGGACAGGTGAATCTGAGTGTGATTTTGGGAAGTGAAGGGCTTTTTGAAACTAGGTTACACCCACTTTGCTGTGTGCTATGGGTTATTGGTCGCATCAGTATCGGCGAGAATGCACAATGCAAGCACGGACGAAGCGAGGTGGCTCTGACGGGCCGATATGTTTTTCGGGGAGGTGAGGTGCGGTGAGAGGGCACTTCCCTCATGAGACTTTGCGGGCGACAAAGGTTGGATTGAGAGACAGGCCCGAATTTATGGCTGCTAAGGAAATTGGAGATGCAAAACGAATTGTAGAATTGTAGCTCGAGTGAGCCTCAAGATCAACAACAAACAGTTGAGTAGCAGCGCCATCCATCTTCTCTTCTAATTTACCCCACCCTCTCTAAGCAGATGCTATTTTCGACCCATACACTAGAGACCGCCGTCTTCTACCTTATGGGCGGTTGGTACCTGAAATGATCTCATGTGAAATCCTGCAGATAAGGCAGCAGACATAACCACACGTTAGACCGGCACGTGGCAAGGTGCCTGTGGTAGAAGGGGAGAAAGCTTCCAGAAGCTTATCTTGCCTTACTCAACTCACTTGAGCCAAGAGGGGCAGCCCATTATGGGCCCGAATTCCGGTCTCGGCACACATGGTGTGACTGACAGCCAAATAGCGTCGCAAGTTGTAACCAGGCACATACAGGAGTTACAAGGTGACAAGAGGAGCTCTTTATGAAATTGGCTAGTCGGTCCAAGTCCATTGCAAGACCTTTCCGAGGTTGAGGCGAGGCAAGGTGAGCCATACATGTGTAGCTGCCCACACATGCTGCCTTGGCGTGACGATGTACTGAGCAAGCTGTTAGTGATTTTAAGTGACACTTTCTGTTGCCGAACGACTTTGCTCGACTATCGCCGTCAATAGCCGCTCATTGGTTCCGTATTCACGGACAAAGTGTTGACTTTGGCGACAGCCTACAGAGTATACGTAAGCCGGAGTTCGTTTACTGAGCAAGCTGCTTCCGAATCAAACGGCCTTTTCAGAGTTGCCTAGCATGCTGACCACCGTCATCTCATCGTATGCAAGTGCAGATTGCACTAAATGAGCGAGACTGAGCAGATGAACGGGAGTAATCCCATGCGCAGGAGATGTAGGATTGATCTTAGGTTTCAGCAGACACCTAAGCTTGGTCAATGGGGTGAAATTTCTTCCAAATTAGAGGTTGATCTGTGAGATATCTTGCGCAAGCTTGGGTAGCCAAGCTTGACAGACCTACGGATAGGAACAGATGGATAGGCTTGGGACCGGGTGCCTGAATAGAGGTAGGAAATGCCTTAGGCAAGGAACTCAAGGCATCCAAAGTGCGCAAGGCATCCGTTCATCAGCTCTGAACCAGCGTGTGGAGCTACCTTACCTGAGGTACCTTGTCCTGGGACCCCAAGCACAATCAGTTGGGTGTAAGGTACTCCGTACCTGAGCTTCCTTAAGAGGTACAGTGTCTCTAGAACAAAGATACGTACTGCCGCGTCTGTTCCCCCCCATCTGGCATGACATTGGATGCTTGCGATAATACCCATTCAAAACACCTCTTCCGCCAACCTCGTAGCTCTCTGCTCAGTTATAACATCTTCAGCGACAGCCGACCCGTTGCTCTTTGCCAGGTGCATTTCGCCCATCCCAGCAGCTCCGCACTAGCTGAAACTTCACGCCCAATCTTTTGGCTCTCCCCCAATCAACCTTGCAATAGTGGCTTTGCTGTGTTGAGCTGTTTCGACAGACATCCTGCACGAAGCTTCGGTTGCATTGAGCTCACTACGCGTTGCAACAGCCCACCCTGCTATTGCCCTCGCTGTCATTGTCGGTTTTGTTCTTGCCATTGCATGTCCACCGCATCTCCCGCTACCGATCTCCGTTCTCTGACGCCCTTCGTCACACCGTCTCTGTCCGTCAGTGCTTACCCCCGGCCCATCGCCGCCGTCCTATAACCTCTCCTGTCGACCTTCTCCTTGCACCAAGCTTCGGCTCCCCCTCCTTTGCCCAACATGGCAACGAACAACATGCATAACCTCACCACCCTCATCAAGCGGTACGTCGACCGAAATCCCATCAGCCCGGACTACTCTGCATCCAGCTCTACGGCAACATTGACGGGCTTCAGCTCGCTGTTGCTCCTATTCTGGGCCCACTGTCAGCGCACTCGTTGCTAACCTCGAAACAAGGCTCGAAGCTGCTACGGCTAGGCTCGAAGATATCGCCACCTCTACCATCGAGCTTCCCCAAGCCGTTCCCGCCCTCAATCAATCCGTCGCCTCGCCGCCTGCTGCTTCCAATGCTCCCGCCCCTCCCCCGCCGCCGCAAGCCGCCGCCGCCCCCCAAGCTCCCCCGGAGCCAGTTCCAGAGTCCATTGAGGAATTCGATCAATTTATTGCCACATCGGTCGAGAAATATGTCAAAACCAGTCAGCAACTTGGAGGCCTTGTTGCTGACCAGGTCAGTCATTTAAATACACTCGCGAATCATTCGTTATTTGGATGTTGACCAGGGTCTCCGTAGGCTGCCAAAGTTCTGCAAGGTTTCCAAGCCCAGCGCAACTTCCTGCTCATCACCACGAAGGCCAAGAAGCCTGATTTGAATGGCGCCGAAATGGCTGTCTACCAGGACCTCCTAAAGCCCATTAATGAAGCTCTTGTAGCTGTCAACAATATCAAAGAGTCCAACCGAGGGTCGCCAGTTTTCACCCAGCTGAGCGCTGTTGCTGAGGGCATCATGGTTCTCGCCTGGGTCACTGTCGACAACCGTCCTTACAAACATGTCGAAGATTCGTTGGGTTCTGCCCAATTCTTTGGTAACAGGGTGTTGAAGGAGCAAAAGGATAAGTGTGTCTGCGCCAATGATCCGATGTGATATTGAAGGACCCATGGCTAATGCGGTATACCATAGGGATGCGCAGCAAACCGAATGGGTGAACGCCTTTTACCAAGTCTTCCGTGACCTTGCCGACTACGTCAAGCAAAACTTCGCTAGCGGCATCCCCTGGAACCCGAAGGGTCAGCTAGCTCAGGAGGTTGCTAAATCGTTGTCCGCATCTGCAGCTTCTGCCGCTGCTCCTCCTCCGCCACCCCCGGCCGGCGGTCTTCCGCCTCCACCCCCGCCTCCTGGACCTCCCCCAGTACTGGATATCAAGGAAGAAACCCCCGGTGGCAAAGGTGGACTGGGCGCCGTGTTCTCCGAACTCAACAAGGGCGAGGCTGTGACCAAGGGTCTTCGCAAGGTCGACAGATCGGAAATGACGCACAAGAACCCGTCCCTTCGTACAAGCTCGAAAGTTGATGGAGAGGCATCAGCACGCGGCAAGAGCCCAGCTCCTGGCAAGAAGCCTAAGCCAGAGAGCATGCGCGTCAAGAAACCACCAAAGAAGGTGCTTGAGGGCAACAAGTGGACTATCGTATGAAAGCCCCCTATTATTATGTTTTGAATGGTATGTCACAGATGGCTAACTTTCATATAATATGCAGGAAAACTTTGAGAAGGAGCCTCAGCCCATTGAAATCGAGGCGTCCATTTCGCACTCCATCCTGATCAGCAAGTGCAGCAACACTACCATCATTGTGAAGGGCAAAGCAAATGCTGTGACCATTGAGAACTCAACTCGTCTGTCGTTGATCGTGGAGTCTCTTGTGTCTACTGTGGACGTCATCAAGTCTCAGAACTTTGCATTGCAGGTCATGGGTGCTGTGCCTGCTGTCTTGATGGACTCAATTGACGGCGCTCAAGTCTACTTCAGCAAGGAGAGCACAGACACCAGGATCTTCTCGAGCAAGTCTTCAGGCATCAACCTCAACGTTATCTCGGGAGAGGACGAGGACTATGTGGAAGTACCGCTTCCATCGCAGATTTGCTCCTACTATGATGAGAGCAAGGGCGAACTCGTCAACGAGATTGTCTCTCACTCAGGTTAAGATGAGTAGTTTCAGCTGCAGCTAAGGAAGGGGGATTAGACTGGGAAGAGCCAGAGTTGGGTCGATTTGTAGGAGTAAACATGGCGGCGGCATCTTTTGTTCCCCACCTCACATAGCCTGCTTCAATCTGGAACTGTGCGGTTTCGATTTGCCTGTTTCAGTCATGTTACATTTATACATTGCCCTGCAACCTTCATACCCGCATGTTCAATAGAGGCAATAGAAAGCTGTCGAAATGATGTGCTTGGTACTACCACTCGAGTAATGGGGAGATGCAGTGTACATAGCCCAGAATGAGAAGACTGCGAAGGGGGAAATTCTTCAATATGATCGCGGTGGTGCCGACACCACCGGTCACGTCTATCAGGTTGCCAGAGACGCTTCTGCTGTATCCGTGCAAAGAACGACCGGTCATCTACATGTAACCATATATGAACACACATACACACCCTCACATAACTGACGGAGCGCCGGAGCACCCTTGGGATATTGGTCGACTTCTCTTCTCTCGCCCATATCGCCAACGACAACTCCTCTCTCATCCCCTCTCTTACAAAGGATTTCTATCACCGTTTACAGCTTAGCCTTGGCGGGCTTAATGGTAGGGATGAGCAGGTCGCGCATCTCGCCGGCGGCCTCGTTGAGGAAGAAGCTCATGCGCTGGCTGCCCAAGCCCTTGGACACAACGTTGAAGTTAATGCTACGCAGAGATTAGCTTGTTTCTTAGATTGTTGGGGGGAGGCTACACTGCAGCAGACGACAGCACACAAATCACGCACCTGTTCTCGTTGATCATGTAGGCAATTCCGAACCCGCCGTCAATGACCTGACTCCATCCGTATCCGTTGA